GTTTGTTTTTAAACAAAACATCAGCTTTAAATGCAAAGGCAGCATTAATTATAGTGAATGAACTGAGACTGTTTCCAATCTTAGAGCCAGGTTTTCAAAGATATTTTAGGTTTCTAAAAGATGTAGATAGGCACCTTACGGGATTTTGTTTTTGAAGTGTCAAGGCACGTTCAGTGCCTAACTCCTATTTAAAAACAATGGAAATTTGGTTGAAAATCTGGCCCCATTTCCTTGAATCTTGAACAAGGTGGAAAAGGAAACAAGCATTTCTTCTATTTTTTCCCACTTTGAATGAACGAGATCAAACGAAGACATATTCCTTCTGTACCTGCTAACTAAAAAGTGAAACCAGAAGTAAAGCTTTTCTGCACAAAGGAAACAAAGTATTGGACGTCTGGAAAAATATAAATACAATAGCAGTATTTGCGCCACTATAATAATTGAAAATATTTAATTCAGTTCAATGACGACATTATTGTTGAGCTGATCTCTCATTCATCAAAATCTGAGAGTTCCGATTTTGCATTTTTATTACATAAAAATGGCCGTAATGGGTCAGACCAAAGGTCCATCTAGCCCAGTAGCCTGTCTGCCAACAGTGGCCAGTGCTAGGTGCCCAAGAGGGGGTGGGCCGAAGACAATGATCAAGCCATTTGTCTCATGCCATCCATCTCCAGCCTCTGACAAACAGAGGCCAGGAACACCATTTCTATCCCCTGGATAATAGCCTTTTATGGACCTAAGCTCCATTAAATTATCTAGCTTCTCTTTAAACTCTGTTATAGTCCTAGCCTTCACAGCTTCCTCTGGCAAGGAGTTCCACAGGTTGACTACGCGCTGTGTGAAGAAGAACTTTCTTTTATTAGTTTTAAACCTGCTACCCATTAATTTCATTTGGTGTCCTCTAGTTCTTCTATTATGGGAACTAATAATTTATTCACCCGCTCCACACCACTCATGATTTTATATACCTCTATCATGTCCCCCCTCAGTCTCCTCTTTTCTAAACTGAAAAGTCCCAGTCGCTTTAGCCTCTCTTTGTATGGGACCTTTTCCAAACCTAATCATTTTAGTTGCCCTTTTCTGAACACTTTCTAAGGCCAAAGTATCTTTCTTGACATGAGACCACATCTGTACACAGTATTCAAGATGTGGGTGTGCCATAGTTTTATACAGGGTCAGTAAGATAGAAAATAAGACACTATCCCTTCCTTAATAATTCCTAACATCCTATTTGCCTTTTTGACTGCCGCTGCACACTGTGTGGAAATTTTCAGAACTATCCATGATGACTCCAAGATCTCATTCCTGATTTGTTGTAGCCAAATTAGCCTCCCATCATACTGTACTTATAGTTGGGGTTATTTTTTCCAGTGTGCATTACTTTACACTTATCCACGTTAAATTTCGTTTGCCATTTTGTTGCCCACTCACTCCGTTTGGTAAGATCTTTTAGAAGTTCTTCACAGTCTGCTTCTGTCTTGACTATCCTAAACCGTTTAGTATCATCCGCAAACTTTACCACCTCACTGCTTACCCCTTTCTCCAGATCATTTATGAATAAGTTGAACAGGATTGGTCCCAGGACTGACCGTTGGGGGACACCACTAGTTACCCCTCTCCATTCTGAAAATTTACCATTTACTCCTACCCTTTGTTTCCTGTCTTTTAACCAGTTCTCAATCCATGAAAGGACCTTCCCTCTTATCTCATGGCAATGTAATTTACACAAGAGCCTTTGGTGAGGGACCTTGTCAAAGGCTTTCTGGAAATCTAAGTATATCTACTGGATCTCCCTGGTCTGCATATTTGTTAACCCCTTCAAAGAACTCTAATAGATTAATAAGACATGATTTCTCTTTATAGAAACCATGTTGACTTTTATCCAACAAATTATGTTCTTCTACATGCTTCACAATTTTATTCTTTACTATTGTTTCGACTAATTTGCCCGGTACTGAAGTTAGACATACCGGTCTGTAATTGCCAGGATCGCCTCTAGAGCCCTTTTAAAATATTTTATTACAGTAATATACTTAAGTTCTATGTAAAGGAGATGTTCCTTTTAAAAATAGCCCTGTTTAAAATTAGATTTTGAAATTGACAGCCTACGTTCATCATGGTTTTCTCTACCCGGACAAACTGTTCACATGACATGAACAAACAAGCAGGGACAAGGGGGAATAAGAGACGACTCACTTGATCTCCCTTTTTATTGCCACTGCATTACAAACTTTGCTCTTAAGTCTTTGGTGGCACCACAAAATCTATGTTAGATTTACCCACGAAAGCACATGATACTATATATTTGTTAGTCTGTAAGGTGCTAAAGAATAACTCTTTTAAAGTTAGAGAGTCACACCGCTGCCCCTCAGACTGCATTAGATGAGTTCATTAGCAACTAAATATACAAAATAGATGTACTATACACATAACAGTGGAAAAGTTTAGTAAATAAAAGCTGGCTATTTGTTTTTGTGAGCAACACAGAAGAATGTCCTAATGAGCATTGTTAGTGCACTGAATCATTTCAAAAGATGAACGAGCACATTTCCAGAGTTCTTTATTGAAATAAAACCATTTTTTTTTATTTTAGTACTTCCATGATGAATTCCCCTCCTTTCAATCTATAAGCAGAAAGCACCAGGGTAGTATTTTGCCCTATTTTTTCACAAAAAATGTACATTTCCATTTCTTAATATAAATTGTTTTAATTGAATTTTACATATCGCAAGGGACATTGAACATATGTGAAATAATCTTACCATTCACTTATGCACAGCTTTTGCTTCTGAAGCATCTATATTTAAGTCTAGGACACTGTCAGTTTCAGAAAGCCTCTCTCGTTTCCTGTATAGAAAGTTTTCATAATTACTGAAAAAATCATTTTTTTTATCATTTTTTTTATATAAATAAAATGATTTTCAGTAATTATATATACACAAACATGATGATTTTTAAATTCTCCATAATTTGTTAGTGTGCAAGTTTCAGAAAGCATTTTACAGTGAAATGTTGTCTATACCCCATATAATATAAAACAAGATGTTTGATACTTTTCCTCCTCTTCATGCCCCTTACTCAAAAAAGAAAAGCAGCACATTTAAATTATACAAAGATGCTCGATTAGTTGACGGTCTACATTGTCCCAAATACATCACTGGAAAAAAGTTAATTCCATAAAAATATTTACATGTTATTTATATTAACTCATCTCTTTTTAGTTAGTCATCACTAAAATAAAAGTGCTTGAACATTACTGTTTCTCTTCATCCTTAATGCAAATTGTATCCTTTGGTTTATTAAGCATCTTTACATCATCCAGCAGTCTTTTGGGTGTCAAAATATGAGTGGAACCTGGTAAAAGAAATATACTTTTAGGTAGACGAAGTTAACTATGCATGGTTCACTACGAAATCAAAATTGCGTGTTAAATGTTTATTGTACCTTTCATATATTAGTTTAAAATGCTTTAAGGATTTTGATGCAGTGATTATGGAAGCAAATGCTCCTCTCAGTCCCAAAACAGGAGATGGCTTTGACTGCATCAGCAGGAGAAAAAAAATCTTCAAGGATTCCATTTTGCCTCCCCCTCCCCCCCCCCCCCCCGGGGGGGTTGAGGAATGCAGAATCAGCACCTAATAGGGTTGTTCTATGCTCTTCCATATAGCCTGTTTGCTTCTGCATACGCATAAACCTTTCCCCCTGCCCAGTGCTACCAATCTGAACACCAGGGCTGTGTCTACACTGGCACCCTTTTCTGTAAAAGGGATGCTAATGAGAGACTTCGGAATTGAAAATTCCGCAGGGGATTTAAATATCCCCCGCGGCATTTGCATGAACATGGCTGCCGCTTTTTTCTGGCTCGGGGTTTTGCAGGAGAAAAGTACCAGTCTACACTGGCGCTTTTCTCTGGCAAAACCCCGAACACCAGGGCTGTGTCTACACTGGCACCCTTTTCTGTAAAAGGGATGCTAATGAGAGACTTCGGAATTGAAAATTCCGCAGGGGATTTAAATATCCCCCGCGGCATTTGCATGAACATGGCTGCCGCTTTTTTCTGGCTCGGGGTTTTGCAGGAGAAAAGTACCAGTCTACACTGGCGCTTTTCTCTGGCAAAACCCCGAGCCGAAAAAAAGCGGCAGCCATGTAAATGCAAATGCTGCGGGGGATATTTAAATCCCTTCGGGCTTTG